TAAACAAGTTCGCGGGAACCCTAAACAAGTTCAGAGATAAGCTCATTCAGTTCCTGTGATTCCTAAACAAGTTCGCGGGAACCCTAAACAAGTTCGGAGATAAGCTCATTCATTTCCCGGTGACTCCTAAACAAGTTCGCGGGAAATGTAAACAAGTTCGGAGATAAGCTCATTCCTTAAAACGGTAAGGTAGGGTTGGACCGCAGCGGTGCGATGATGCCCATCGCTCCCGCATCCCACACGGGAAAAGAATAAGAGTTTTTAACGATTCGCGCGTGCCCTTTTTCGGGAAGCTCCATCTCAGCAACCAGTCGTTGTCTGACAGTGTTCGACATATCCAAAGATGCATAAAAAAGAGTACGTACTATGACTAGTTTGCAGTGTCATTGTCAAGCAATGATTTGCCATCGAGAAGAAGCTTTCCCAAAAAGGGCAGCGTATGTATTTTTCATTTATTTTTCGATAGTTAGAAAATAATCAGTTTTAGATATGCCTGCCGTTATTTCGACTCCCACCTCTCTGAAGGACGGCTTGCGCATGTGAAGCCAGACCACGCACAGACCGCGCGGAGGAAAAAGGCCAGACCGATAAGGTAAAAGCACAGACTGCGTCCGGTACGTATGTATGGATGAAAAAAAAAAAATCATAGGAACAAAACTATTTTCAACTTGGGCTACCGTACGGAAGAATCTACAGAAAATACTGGTATCATGATGTTATCAGATCGAAATAGAATCAAAAACCTTTATGCATGAAAATAAGTACAAAATATGTATATATATATATATATATATATCTTAGGGTTCAGGTTATTATTGAACACTGATTCCAAATACGCTGCCTTCGACTTCCATTGCCACCGAAGCAGACCAATCCACCATCGTAGCGTGAGCCATCACGAAAATCAAAGTATTCGTTGTGCTTTGGCTGTGTTCCGTTCCGTTCCGTACTCGTACGCAACTCTCAATTACTCGCGGTGCCCCTAGGTGCCACTATACGAACCGCCGGACACCCACCACCGACACACCCACACAATTCGTTGCCGGTAGCGTAGCGCAGACGTTCTTTGCCTTGGTTGCGTCCTCGCGGCCAGAACGACAACCACCACAACCACCACCACCACAAAAAGCAACGAGAAGAGCATGTGGCAGCGAACGCGGACGGCGGCCGGCCCCTGGATCGGGGTGCTCTGCGCGGCGGCGATTGCGGCGGGGAGGCACAAGAGCGACGGGACCCCGAGCGAAAGCCAAAGCACGGGCCAAGGGACCCACCGCACCGCCCTGGCGGAGGCCCTCTCCCCGGTCGTTCGCGGCTTGCACGGAGCCGGCGCCGGTGCCGTCCTCTTTCCCGGCGACCGGCCGGCCCCGGCGTTCGGGGCCCCCCTCCGGGCCCGGGACCACCCCGGGGGAGACGGCGAAGCCGACCAAAACCATCCGCCCACCCGTTCCCGTTCTTCCCCGCTCCTCCTGGCCACCAGCAGCGCGTCCCCCCGCCGCGACCCCCTAGCGACGCCCGGCCGGGGAACCGCCCCCGGGCACGCCATCTTTGGAACCCTGTGGGGCGGGGGGGCGATCGAGCGCTACGACGTCTACCGGCCCGCGAGCCCGGAGGCCGCGAGGGAGACCGCGGGGGAGCGGAACCGCAGGGAAACCGAGCGGGAAAAGCAGCGGCTCGAGCGCAGGGGCAAGAGCAAGAGCAAGAGCAAAAGCAACAACCACGCCAAAAGCAAGAGCACAACCGACCACGAGGAGCTGGTCGTGGAAGCCGACGTGCGGTTCGGAACCCGCCTCAACGGCCACACGGGCATCGTCCACGGCGGGATCCTGAGCCTGGTCTTTGACGATCTCATGGGCTTTGCCTGCGACGAGATGCGGGGGTCGGGGGTCCCGCGCGGGATGCCCGTGACCGCCAACCTGAGCGTGGACTTTCGGGCACCGGTCCCCGAGGGGACAGCGGTCAAGGTGGAGATCTTTCTCGAGCGGAGGGAGGGCCGCAAGCTCTTTTGGAAGGCGTACATGCTGGGCGACAACGACGACGACGACGACGAAATTCTCTATGCCGAGGCGACGAGCCTGTACATTCTTGTCGGCAAGTGACGACGGGGTACGCAGCTTTCGCGGAGGATGGGCGCAAAGGAATGATTCAACATCCCCCACGGAACGGCCTGCCTCCACTCACTGTAGCCTCTGCTCCGATGAGGCCGGTGAATGGATTCGCATCGCATCGCATCGCATCACATCGCACGGATATCGATAGATCATTCGGTTTGATTTGGTTTGATTTCGCAATGAACCAGTAGGCGGTTTTTGGGTTCTCCGGCGTTCTGCTGCTGTGACGAATGTGGTTTGTTGATAACTTTTATTCCAACCCGACTATTGGCGATCATGCTCGAACAAAAGTATGAATTTTTCTTTCAAAGTATGTTCGGTGTTCGTCATAAATATCAGCAGCATCTCATAGATTACTTTCGTAGTAGTCATTGGATGATTTGAGCAGCATCGCAATCCCAGAGCATCGACTCTACTATGATAGTGATAGCGCAAAAGAAAACTGTTTTTCTAAATTATTGATAGTATGACACACATGCAATGCAAATTGGTACCAGGGTTCGAACCGTATCGGCCTGGGGGGCCTGTACGGTAGCAGACAAATTATTCGTAGTAAGGATCGTGTTCCCCGCGCTCGTACGTGCAGGATTTCTTGCAAAAGTTTGCGGTCGAGCTGGTGACCCTGCTGGTCGACTCCAACCCGGAACTTTTGCGGGGTCGCCGGGTGTCCGACACCGGGCTAGGAACCGTCCGGATGGTGTGGAAGTTGGCGTCGTGCTGGTCGTCGCTGGCGGATCCACGCTCGATCCTGGACATGGCGCTGGG